GTGCTAATTCCAATTAACTTATTCAAAAAGAAAAACATCAATCACAAATCTAAAATCAAACACCAGATAATTATAAATTCAAAATTTTTCATTAATCTCAAAAAAAAAATTGTTATTTACATCAAAACTCCTACACTACTCTGCTGGAGGAGGTGGTTGGGATGGCTCGCCTCCAGCAGGCGGAGGTGGCACTTCGGTCTCAGGGGGGGCCACCTGCTGCACTTCATCAGAGGAGACTGGGTGCACTTCGGGAGGCGGCACTTCGGGCAAATTTGCCTCAGCTTCAACACCTTGCACTTCTTCTTCTTCTCCTTCTCCCTCCACTGCCACCAGCTCTGCATCAAAGCCTGGAGGAAATATGGTACGCCCCTCTGCATCACGCTCCCACCTCAGCGTGATCTGAGGTCGGAAGTCAGCACAGAGGCTCTCCCCATCTTCCTCCACCCCTTCTTCTTGTTCCCCAAAGGTAACCGTTGTCACGTCCACCTCTGGGTACTGAGCCTTCACCTTCTTTCTACAGTCGGTGAAGGCCACGATTGCCGTTGGCAGCCGGTAGAGTTTGAGGATGCTCTCAAAAGTGCTGGAGTTGAGGAAATTGCCAATATGCTCCTCCATCCCGTTGTGAACCAGCAGGTTCACGTTCTTCTTCAGCTCCGCTACTCCTTTCCTCATGTTGTCCGTGTATTTGTCCTGAGCCTCGATCTTCTCCTCACAGATCTTCCTCTTACGCTCTTCGAGGGCAAGCTTCGTGCTCAGGACATCATTCTCGTTTTGGAGCTCGGTCATTGAAGGAAGAACTTCATCCAGCCTCCTCTGCATCTCCCTCTTCTCCTTCTCCCATTCCTTCTTCTCCTTCTCCCATTCCCCCTTCTCCTTCTGTAGCTCATCCTTCTCCTTCTGAAGCTGTTCGCACTGCCTCTGCAAGCTGGCACGATCCTTCATGCTCTCTGCATACTCCTGCGCTAGAGCATTCGTCCAGCTCGCACTCTACAATGCAATAAGACAACAAATATCAGATCCCGAGGCCAACAAAAAAAAAAAAAAAAAAAAAAAAAAAAAAAAAAAAAGAGAGAGACGAACTCAAACACAATTCCACCTATCTCGCATACCTCTAAGGCGTGCCTCACAACCGTATACCCCACGTGGCTCACCGCCTCATCCCTCGCCCGTTGTCTATCCACCTCAGGGAGAGTGCGGTTGAGGAAGTGCTTCGCCCCAGATCTGTTTGCCGCCTCAAACAGACTTTTTTCAGGCAAACGAGGAGGGGCGAGCTCCTCGCCCATGCCAGGGTTTCGTACCTCGGCCTCTTCCCCCTCCCGGCCCTCAGGAGTAATTTCTGGAGGAGAAGCCTGAGGCACGAACTCCACCACCTCATTACCCCTGGTGCCTAGCTCTGCCACCCTCCTCTTTTTCCTCTGAAGAGGGGCCATCTCCTCGCTTACATCCTCATTACCCCCCATAACAGGCTCCGGCCTTAGCTGCACCTCCATGGCCGGGACAGAAGTGCTGGAAAATCGCCCTCCCTCTGCCACCTCTTTCTCCGCCGCAGTTGAAGTCTTGGACTTCTTCCGTGGCCTCTTGGGGATGTGTAGGCCACCAGCAGCAATGACAAACTCGTCCATCTCAGCTGCAAAACAAACATCAAAATCAGAACACATCAAGTAAACTCTCACCAAAATTGCACATTACAAGCATCCACCAACCTTCCCCCAATGAGCTTGGCCCATAGAGTTCAGCACCATCTATCGCCTCCGGGCCGGTGAGGTACAAGATGTCCACCACATCTCCATCCTCCCTCACCAGCTTCTTTACCTCCTCCACCTCATCCTCATTCAGCTTATAGTTGTTCTGCTTGTTTTTCTTCGCTTTCCAAGCAGACAACTGTTCCACTTCGGCATCCCTCCTACTCCACTCGGTGTCATCCACAAAGAAGAATTTTTCTTTCCATCCTTTGATGGATGACGGCCCAGCAGAGAATAAAGTCTTATTCTCTTTGCTGGACGACCGAGGACCGAAATGATACCACCCCTTCTCCCCCCTACCCCCAGCCTTAATTACAAAAAAATGTTTGAACATATTCACAGTCGGGACCCCAACCCCCCGAACTCTGCAGTATACAAGAAAACCTATCACTACCCTCATGGCATTTGGAGTCAGCTGGGTTATTCCTATACTATAATCTAGTAATAGCCCAACCAGTAATTCTGGAATGGGGAATCTAAGCCCTGCAATCAAATAATACAAGTATATGGGCATCCAATGGTCTCGAGGTGCTGAGCATGCCCTCTCATTCACCCCGGCAGGCCTAATTAGAACATGGTGAGGAAGGTCGCAGTTCCCTACTATCCCCCTAAGGCTATGTCTACTCCCCAATTCACTCACATACCCCCTCACTTCAGAAACTATTTCTAAGTCTGGGTCATAGCACCCATCTACGCCTCCCCCAGATTCCAAAATGTTTGAGGGGATTTCATCCTCCTCCTCTTCTATTACCCTTTCCTCCATTCTATCCTCCACTGTCCTCTCCGAGGTAGTAGGAGACGGACTGGTCTCCGAATCCATGCCACCGTATTCTAAGGGCATCACTTCACTCCCCACTACACTCCTGGCCTCCTCTGACGACATCGTAATTTCTGCATAAAAGGGGGAGGAGGAGCGATATCAGGACCCTTAACAATTCCAACACATTCAACACATTCTCCCTCCCGACCATGAATTCCTCCAAAAACCCAAATTCAACCACAGAAAGGGAGAAAGGAGAGCACCAGTTCAGCAAAATCAAAGTGGAAAATTCATAAAATTTACCTAATTCTGGTCTTGGAAACTGTTGTTGAAGTCTGGATTGAAGCGCAAACCGCACGAAACCGCAGAAATTTAGTAGCAATTCAACAGGGAATTTGAAGCAAAATAAACGAGAGTAAAAAAGTCCCCTTTACAGACGAGTGGCCTTTTATACCAAAGGCAAAATGCGCCCCAACGGCTGCGATTAGCTCAATCTAACGGTTGCAGAGACACCGTTTCGAATCCAACGGTTAACCATCAAAACGGCACCGCTTCAAGCTCGACGGTTCGCTTTTCAAATCTGCCCGTTGGATTGTTACGGTCATCTTTTTTACGGCGGCATTAATTACGCACGTCAGTCAGAGGACAGCTGTCGCGTCACACGTCACGTCTTAGACAGACTTCTCAAACGAGCTCACTTAAGCCCATTTCAACACTTCTTTCAACTTTTACACATTTCAAATTTTGGGCAAGTACTTCACTTCGGCTCCGGCCACAGTGACCCAGTGTCACTCACTTCACTTCGGCTCCGGCCACAGTGACCCAGTGTCAC